GTTTGCTTCACAACTCAAAGTAAACACACACAACTCTCTCTTGCCAAGACAATCTCCCACACAACACACAGCACACACAGCACACACACACATACACAAGTCTCCAACAACAGCACCACCACCATGAACTTGCAACAGATTATGAGACCCAGCTCAATTAGCGCAGACGGTATCAAGGTCTTCGCTGGGGCTGAGCAGGATGCCAACCTCTTCTTCATCACCGTCGAGGCCAAGCTCATCGCCGCTGGCATCGACGCTGGCATCATCGCCGAGGGTGGTGCTGACCACCAAGGAGACGGGCAGGCTCCAGCAGCTGCCTCATCGCCGAGCCCAAGCACCCACGGTGCTTCGGGTCCCCGCACTCGCTCCCGCGCTCAACGCGGCCCTCGCCGCACTGGCGCCCGCCACAACGTGGAGGACCACGACGACGATGACGACGACGAGGGCGATGGCGACGACCACGGCGCTCAGCCATCTTCCTCCTCTTCCTCTCTCCCTTCTTCCGCCACTCCGAGCGGAGGAGCGCAGGTGGCGTCCCGAGCCTCTGGCCTGCTGGATCCCCGTGATCCACAGGTTGACGCAGCCATCTTCGCGTTCCTCCTTGGCGTCCTGACGGGACACCCGCTGCGGCTGGCCATCACCGACAACCGTGGCCGCTCCGGTGTGCTTGCGCTGCGCCGCCTCCGCGAGCGCTACATCCGCAGCGGCAAGGACCACGTCAGTCGTCTCAGGCAGCAGCTCTCCTCGACCACCTGGTTGCCCACGGACACCGTCGACACGTTCATGTCCCGCATCACGGACATCAACTCGCAGCTCCTTGCTGCCGGCGTGTCCATCCCGGAGGACGACCTGCGCACCCTCGTCCGCAACGAATCCCCGCGGGGTTTGATGGTGGCGATGCCGTCCATGGAGCGCGAGGACCCGCCGCCATCGCTGTCCAAAAATGACGGCGGACCCTCATCCAGGAAGGAGGCCCGCCTGCTTCGTCCCAAGAAGCGCACGCCCGTGCTCGCCATCGGCGGGCCCAGCCCCGGCTCATTCGCTGCATAGCCGATGCACGTGGCACGTGGACCTTCGACACGAGCGGTGACCCATGCTGCCCACCGGCAGACAGGGACACCTGTTCGTTTTGCAACTTCCGCGGCCACTGCGCGCAGCAGTGCCGCAAGCTGCAGGCGGCCAAGCGCTACCACGTCATCGACGTGCGGCAGATCCTCTCCAAGCTTCGCAACCATGGCAACGGCAACGGCAAGCGGCCAGGATCCTCTCGCCCGCAGCACGGAGGTGCAGCTCCATTCAAGAAGGCGGCCGTCGTCAGCCACGGCCCTCAGCGCGTGGAGACCTTCGCCATCCACCATGATGCCCTCATGCTGCAGCCCGAGGACGAGGAGGAGGGCACGCCATCGGACCAGTGCCACCACAGCTCTGGCTCGCTGACAGCGGTGCCACGGCGCACATCACCAGCGACGCCTCCCTCCTCACCAACTACATCGCCGTCACGCAACACGTCACCGTTGCCAACAGCCAGGCCGTCACGGTCATCGGCAAGGGCGACGCCGTGCTCCGCGTGGCTGGCACCGACGGCGCTCCAGGCACCATCACGCTCAAGAATGTGCTGCATGTCCCCGACATCAAGTACAACCTTTTGGCGCTGAACCTGGTGACTCGCGCGCGTCGTGGTGCTTCCGTCGTCATTGCTGCGGACGACAGCCGTATCCAGTTTGCCACATGGAGCGTGCCTCTGCTGCCGTCCAAGGACACCGGCCACCTCTTCCTCTACGCCAGCACCACGACCTCCCAACAAGCCACGGCGCTTGCGGGGGAGCTCGTGCACAGCAGCGACGAGGAAGCCGAGGATGCTGACGAGGGCGCCTCTGCACACGACGTGCTAGGCCATCGCAGCAGCGCGGCCGTCGACGCCTTCCGGCAGCAGATCGTCCAGGCCTGTAACGTCGCTCGCCTGCCTCCCTCTGCCGCTCTCTCTCTCTCTCTCTGTCTCTCCCCTCTGCCTGTCCGACTCCCTTACCCACTGCACCTTGTCCCGCTGTGTCCCACTGTTTCCCCCTTCTCGCCCTTCGAGGCATCGTATTGCTCTGGATGTTCTTTGTTCTCCTAATGTTCTGATGTCATGTTTAGTCTGATTGACGTCATGTTTAACTCGTGAGTGTCGTATAGTAGCGTTTGCCTGTGTCGTGTCACGCCGTGCCCAGTGCCTCGGAACCGCTTGCCTCTCGGCAGCGATCCCGAGCCCTTGGCACGGTACCGTCATCAACTAAGATGACGGCACGACACATGCCTGCATGCTGTGTTACGTCTGTTGTCCTTGTCTCTTGTTTTCCCCCTTGCTTAACCACAAGCACCCCTCTTGTTGCCTGCTAGCACGTGTGTGTTGCCCTGCACCCTGTTGTCGCTTATCTCACGTGATTGTCTGTGCCTTGTTC